GGACTGCGGTGGCGAGTCCACAGTCTCCTCTGTCTCGACACTCATCACCTCTACCTCCTCGGAGGAAGATAAATGAAGTGCCTGGCTCTCTCTCCGGGACAGACACATACACAGAGCGCTACTGAAGAGCAGAAGCTGGTTTGCGCTCTGCTGGATGCGCTTTTATACTTTCTGGTGCTTATGTCACCCTGCTCGTGATGTCTCGCTGCTCCATTGGACTGATTTGACACGTGCTTCAGAACGCGGTCACGCAAGGGCGTTCCCAAAGCGAATCTCGACGCAGCTCGAGTTCCTGAAGGGGAACTAAGGTATGTTAAGGAGATGAATAGTAAGTGAGAAAAACGGGACTTTAGTGAGTCTATCCCTTGTAAATGTCAACAGACCAGTCAACTAACTCTGACAGCTTTATATTACCATTCAGATCAAATAATAATAAAAATTATCTAAATTCTACACAGCTCGCTCTAATAATCAACACAAAAAGGCATAAATTTCACACATTAGGTTTAGTCTAGGCAAAGGCTTAGTACGGAGCGACCGAAATCCAGTGCTCTGTGTTTTTATCTTGACATATCAATCAAAGCACACGCTTCTTATCTTTAATGACTAATGCTAAAGATCTGCTATAATCCTGAGTGGCATAATTTACCGTTTGTTTTCTTCCCATTCTTGCCTGGCTGGAGTCATGGTGGCGCAGTAGTTGTTGGTGTGAGATGAGGAGAGTCTTGGCTGTGCAGTCAAACTGTCTAATCCTGGGCTTAATCCTCACAGACGTGCAGCTGCCAAGGAGGGAATTAGTGTGGCATAGATCGGTGAGTGAGGACAGCGCAAAAAAAAAAAAAAAACTATAGAGATTGAAAATCAAGGCTTCTGATTACAAATCAATAAATCTATAATCTACCACACCACACACACACAAAAGTTAATTGGAAAAACAACTCATCTAGAGGAAGAAAAAAAAAAGTTTGGAAAAATAACCATATACACTTGCAATCAAAATGATTCAACCCCCTTGACCTGCAAAACATTCTGCTGCCGTGAACAACATTTTATGAAAACAGTTTAACCAAGGCATCAGTAAACTATTTTAGAAAGTTTATTAATACACATTTGAGTGATTCTGATAATGTGAAGTTGATGAAAAAAAATCTAAATTATTCAATACCCCAAAAGTCAAATTTTGCAGAGAACCTTTTATTCTTTATAACCTCTAATAAATGTTGCCTCTAAGTGCACACAAGCTTCTGACACCTCTCTACTGAAATCTTCACCCATGTGCAAAAGCTTCCAGATCACTGATAGACTTTTTTCACGTTGCCACTGCTTTCTTCAAATTCCACCAAATATTTGAATGAGATTTAAATCTAGAGATTGAACACTCAAGAACATTCTACAACTGAACCAAGCTTCAGTAGATTTGGATGTATACTTAAGGATGTTTACCCTGCTAGAAAGTCCATCGATCATCAAGCTTCAGTCTCTGCACCGAAGGCATCACAATCTTTGCCAAAACAGTCGGATACTTCAAAGAATCCATGATGTCCTTCATACAGTCAAGATTTCCATTCCTGTAACAGAAAGCAGTAAGGTGTCCCAACATGAAGGCCATGCTTGTCTAGTGTTCTTCTTATACTCTCCATTTAAATGTTTTTTCCTCCTTTCATCTGGTTTTCTTGCAAGTCTTTGGCAGTAAATCAAGTGTTTTCGATCTGATCGAACATTTTATTCCCCTTGATGATACTGTGCTTTTTCTTTAATGCCCTCAAAGTTTTTCTAGTACAACACATTTGAAACTTATGAATAAGGCTACCAGCTGCATCTCTAGGAAGCATCTTTTAGTGACTTGGAAATCTTCTTGTAGCCAAATGTAATAAAACATTTTCTTCTCTATAGCTTTTGTGCGAGCTCTTTTGACTTGGCCATATTTGCAACTTAACTTAAGCACATGCATGGGCTAAATTTGTATATAACTCAAAAATATTATATATTGGTATCATACACTTGTGATATGACATTAAACTGTAACAGATGCAGTTTTTGACAGTTCTTGTAAGACATAAATAACACTTACATTTCTTCATTCACAAAAAATTGCTTCTACGCTAGTGTAAACATACTTCAGATCACCCGAAATAAACCTATAAATCTCATAAGACATCTAGTGAAGACCCTCAATGCCTAAATATGTGTTTATAGTATACTGTATGTACTATGTACTAGTATGGACCATGATAATCCAAACGATTGCTGGTGACAAGGCAATCCTACAAACAGGATTTTACTTAGGGGTTCACATGAAAGTTAATTTTCCCTAAACTTCACACAAAGGCATTCGTTTTTTTCAAAATTCAGTTCTTTTACATTAATTATAACCATTCAAAAATTCCCTTGTTTGTTCTTATGCATGTCTGTCTGTCATAGATGATCAGGAGCAAACCAGCTGGCAGGAATCCACTGTGGTTCTTCTTGAGCATGTTGTATAGCCGTGAACAGATCCATGCATGAATCTTGCAGGTCATCGTTCACAATCACACAGTCAAAGTACTGACGATGCTTGGCTTCCATGGTCCTGCTTGCTTCCTCAATCTCCTCAAAGTCTTTATCCTGAGCAGACCAGTGGGACAATGTTACATGTCATAACCAGAATTTATGAACACACTCTTTTCTTTCAGTTCATAGCTGCTTATCAATCTATTATCAGAAACAAAGGTACCACAAGAAATATCAAATGCATATCTTACATGAAAGCATCTCTTAATGTAGCTATTGGCAAGAAAATGTGGGTCTTTTCTTGTTTGTCTCATGCGTGCTGGGGACGGGGGCCGCACAAATATGATGTAGGGCTTCAGCGTTTTGGTTCTGACTGAATGAATGCACTGGAATAAACAGATATGTGCAGGTGCATCACTGTTTGCACCCTAACTAATGATAAAAACACAAGTGTGGTTTTAATAATCATTAATGACACTTACATGAGGTTCAAGGTCAATAACACATATTTTTCCATTGTCCAAAACATCTTTGACTGAGTCTAAGCTGGTGCCGTACATGTGTCCATTATGCTCTCCATACTCAAGAAATCTGGATATTGTTAAAAACACAAAAAACAATCCAAAGTAAGCTGAATCACAAGAACAGATCATCAATTATATATATGGTTTTTTTTATTTTTATATTTAAACATAAACAAAAAGATTACTTGTGATTAACCACCATGTACGCAAACACTTCTTTGGTCACAAAGTTATATTCCCGCCCATTCTTTTCACCCATTTTTTGGGACCTTGTTGTGTCTGGAGCAAAACAAGAGACATGCTGTAACATCAGATTGTTTTGTTAAATAATGTTAGATGCTGTTAACAATTTCAGACGTTTGTTAACTTCAAACACACAGTCACTCTTTAAGATCTAGCCGTCCAAACACAATTTCAGTGCCTTGTTTGAAATACTTATTACTCTTTCTGCTTCTACATAATGTAGAAAGTTTCAGTGATATATGAGGGTAGGCTGGATATTTTTTTTTTACGATATTCCAAAAAACTAGCTTACAGCACCTTTAAGTCAGAGATTAAAGGGATCATATGGACAACATACAAGATATTGGTCCCTGGTACGTATTAGGGTTGATTTTGATTAGCCTCCTGCGTAGTTCGTTTACACCAACTCCTGATGGACCTGTGGAAATATGGAAAAGTATTGAGGCTTTAATGGGACATATTTAAATCAGCCAGTGAGACACATGATTGTTAGTTATTGTCAGTTCATGCAAGGATATGATAACCCTGCACATAGAGGACCATACCAATGAGCACAATGAGACGGGGGGGATCGTCTATGTGGCGCTGGTAGTGGAGCACCTCTTCACAAATGGTGGCTGAGGTGTTATAGCAGCTGCTGACCCCACAGGAATAACATGACGGCTTTCGTTTGCTGTATGATTTCCTCCTCCACACGCGCAGACTGTATCGGAACCCCACTGATTCAAACAATTAAACAATTCACTTTTCATATATGTGTATGCGTTCATATGAGCCGAAATTGAAATTTATCATTTACATTCATCATTCAGATTTCATACCTATATATAATCCCTGCATGTGTTCACCATTCTCACCCTCCTCTGACCCTGGACAAAACAAAGAGTGGGTCAATGTAAAGACCATTGGCAAACGTTTTAATAACAAATCTTTAAATCAGCAAATCTATATAAAATCTAAATTATTCTCTCATTCAGTGAAATGCTCTTTCCTCAGAAAAGACTTACCTACCGAACTCAAAATCTTCTTCATCTGTAAAAACAAATAAATGAATTCAACATTGTGCTAAAATTGTTCATACAACCCATTCTATTACTATGGAAGCCTGTTTCAGCAACGGAATAAAACAATTAAAAAGGCAATTGTCACTTTTTTATCTCACAATTCTGACTTTTATGAGTTTATATCTTGCAATTCAGAGTTTATTTCTCAGATCTGTGAGAGATAAATGCAAAATTGCGAGACATATACTCACATTTCTGAAAAAAAAAAAAAGTCAGAATTGCGAGATGTTAACTCAAAATTGCTAAATAAAAACTCAGAATGGCAATAAATAAAGTCAGAATTTTAAGATTACAAGTCATTATATATATTTTTTTAAATCTGTGGCAGAAATGGGCTTTCCTATATTACCACACAGAATAATAAGTTAAATAAATGAAGACATGGATTCTGTGGGATAATCACCTGTTTCAATGCATGTGTTCTCATCCATTATCTCCTCTTCTCCTTTAGAACAAAGAGAGTTACACTCAAGACACTCACCCAGCACTACACAACTAATATTTTATCCATTATCTATTTACTTCATGCACACCCATTACAATCAATTCCTAATAGACAAAACAAGTCGTAATAGACAAAAACAAGTAAACATAAACAGAAAAATCACAGGGAAAGACAAAAAAAAAGATACATACCCATATCTGCTGCGCTCACTTTGGATATCAAAGCAAAGAAAATGACAAAGAATTAGACTAGTAATTAATAAATATTAATAATATTAATGCAACATGGTGGGTAATCATATGAACAGACTGCAATTAGTACATCATAAGTGGTCATAGCATTCTTTAATTCGATTTATTTTTTCTGGGTTAAGCTTATTATTACAAATGTAAAGATGACTTTTTAATTAAGAATGACTCTCTCTGACCTTGAGATAATATAAATGAGCGGTTTCTGCTACTGCAATTTTAAATGATGTTTAAAACATCATGTCATGTGCTGCAGGATTGTCGTCAAGTCTTATATAGTTTTAACTGCTCCATCCTTCAATAATAGCCTCTACGCAAAACCTGCATTACACTGAGCAATCTGTGCTGAATTGTGCCCGAAATGTTTCAGGGACTTGTTTGACAGGGACCTTGCAAACTTCAAACGCTTGTTTCTAATTCCTCAGAAGGATATGCACAAGAACCTGGTGTTTAGAAATAATAGTATCTATCCTTCTTTCACCTTAATGGTTGAGCATAAGGTGGACAGGACTAGTCAATCAGTCATGAAGGAAGGACCATGCCAAGAACAGCTCACTTTCAAGCTTCTTTAAAGTAATTAGATCAGGATGGAGAGAGGGCAGGGTTAAGAGGCTTATGATGCCAACTAACATCTTAAAGAGTGCAGAGAAATTCATACATCTGTGTGTGTGTGTGTGTGTGTGTGTGTGTGTATGTGTGTGCTATAACATACAGGGTCTGATGCAGGTGTGAGCTTGATAAGGTTGGGACCACCATAACTCTCTTTGCTTACTGCAAAACAAGGAAATAAACATCAGTCTTGGTCAAAAATCAATCAATGGCATAATTTTGAAAAAACTTAAACTTAGCATAATTCAAAACTGACTATCTGAATTGGTTAGTGGAGGGTATGAGGCCACAACACAATGAGGCACTGTGGAGTTTCCTGGCCTGCCACCATCGGATGTCCCTCTGGTCTACAATCTCCAGCAAGTCACCTTTACTGAAAGCCATGCCTGCATCTGGGCAGGGGATCGCAGGGTCTTGCAGAGGACTGTAATCCACCATGGCTCTCATATATAGCTAATAGGAGAGAGAGACAATTAACAATAACTTTTTCTTTGTTTACTTTTTTAATAAGTCATTCTTTTAACACAGCAAGGGAACTCACTATATAGTATTTATTAAATATATAGACCAATTTGGTGTTTGCAAACAGTGATGACATTTTTTTGTGGGCGGATTCTATCTGGTGGCAGAAAATGACAGTTTTAAAGTAGCAGTCTACAGAAGCCATGGAATAAAAGAATGAAAAAGGTAACTTTGGGTTTGTATTTCAAAATTCTGACTTTTTTCTCGCAATTCCGAGATTATATCTCACAATTCTGATAAGGAAAATCAACTCGTCATTCTCTCTTTTCCCCTCAGCTCAGAATCATGAGTTTATAATCCCACACTTCTGGCTTTTTCCCCCCTCAGAATTGACAAACTTGCAATTGTTGAGTTAAATTGAGTTCTAAAGTCCGAAGTAGGATATTTAAACTTGCATTTGCGAGAAAAAAAGTCAGAATTGTGAGATAAAATAGGTCAATGTTATAGGTTTAAATAGCTTTTTCATGCTGTAACTGTAGGCTAACAGAATATGTCCCCTATGAACTGCATATGTGAATATTATGTACTTTTTAAATCAAATTTATGCTTTAACAGTAGGGTAATCATAGCAGGTTTCATCCATAGTCTGTCTGTTTAAACATCTGCATTTAGCTTCAAATGGTGTCTTTGACGACAGTATTTTATAAAAATTATTTGCATTCCGATTCTGACATCCAAAGGCACAACAATACATATTTTCTCTTATTCCGTGGATTTTACCCGTTTCCCTCCTCTTGTTCCCAGTGTTTTTCTGCCACCACAATGCGTGCGCAGCTGCAAGTGACGTAACTGTGACGTCTACTCCAAATTGGTCTGTAGTATTTATACAATATATAGTATTTATTAAATGTATTCATTTATTAAATATATTTGTAGAATATTATAAATATATTTATTAAATACAGTGCACTTATGGCTGGTTGGCTGTTGGCAGGTTGTGGTGAATTAGGGATCACTTTAAAAAGAATATTTCCCTGAGATTGTACCTATAAAAGTGTGCACACTGCATGAATAGATATGGTCATTATAAGAGTAGGGAATGGTTTGAAAGTCTTAGATATTATGTAACTGGAAGAGAGTGGGGAACGTTATAAGAAACACAAAAAGAGGTTTTAATCTTGACTTTACCAGCGTCTGAATGACGCGCTCGGGCTGCAGTCCCCGCACTTTCTGTCCATTCACTTCCACCAGCTTGTCGCCAGGATGAAGAAGTCCTAAATGGCACACACACACACACACACATTAGAGAATACAAAATTATCACGTTGTGGTGTTAATGGCTCAGAAACACACACTTCACCTTTAAAGTCAGCATGAAATTAAAACTCACCCTATCCAATTTCTAAGTGTGTTACTGATCTTATTTTGAACAATTCATCCATACATGTTTTAACCTCATAATTCTTAAAATATCATAATCTTCCATCGAAAGGATTGGTGACGTATGATGGACTTCTCCAATCATTTAGTCTGCTTAAACCCCAACCCTTTCTTAAAATTGACATCCAATCAACAACGGATGGATAGAACCAAGTTCCTCCATACATTTTTTTCTTTTTTTGATAACCTGTTTCACATGGGTGTACTGTACATTACAATTCTGAAGAAATGATCTGATGCTACTTCCGTTTCATCACCACTTTAACTTTTTGCATCAGTTTAATTACATGATTAAACCTATCAGAACACTTAATAAGTATGAGCTCAAAGAACAAAAAGTATATAAAAAAGTTTACTTACTAAAAAGTAAAAAAAGGTTACTTACCACTGCGATCTGCCAGTCCTCCATGTATCACCCTTGCAATAAAGATGTTCCCCGTTCTTTCATTCTTCCTAATAGTTACCCCCTAAAATTGTGAAAACACACAAGAATAGTCAATCAGTTGGTTGTCAATGACAACAGGCATCACATGGTGATTCCCACAGAAGATCTTACTCCTGCACATGAGTGGAGGAAGGCTGTGGGTGCAGTGGAGATCATGTTATGATGAAATATTAGGAGGATGGACATTGCGGTAATGATATTGCAGAATCCAGTCATCTCAAACAGAAACATGCCTGACTTGACCTAAACTAAAAGTGTGACAGAGGTCAAAGAGGAACTTAGAGTTTGGGAAAGACACATAGGGTTGATGAATGGGTTGATGAATGAGCCTCAGATGAAGAATGCAGCGTTTTTAATTTGAAGGCACAAGCACCAATCAATGAATCATTCCATGGATCTTGATTGTGGATGAGATGAAGAGGAGATACAAATAAGAAAAAGATCAAGTAATTGCCTGTTTGTAGTGTAGTTCCATTGTAGTGAACAACATCACAGCATTCGGTAAAGTCAAAACAAGCAATTTCAGCAAAGAGTAAAGTGAGGAGAGAGAAGTGGGAACACAGTCACTCTTATTTCCTCATCTTCGACTTTTTCTTCTTGCTAGAGAGGCACAGTATTGTATTACAGTCACCGTTAGGAGTGGAGGTCGTCAAACTGTTTGATAGGGAAGTCTGTCCAGTTTTACTTCCTGGTGTTACAGACCGGTTTCTGGTCTGGCATGATGAAGACTTGCATGAGTTGCACTGTGGTGCTACATGAGAAAAATCCATGTTACAGCTTAAAGAAGAGGAGGAAAACAATGATGTGGTTGAAGATGAAGACGATGAGATGGAGGATGAGACATGAGGAGTGTTGCTGAAAGATTTCTTGGCTGGCGCAATCGGCTGGCCAGGCAAGTTGGGCACACTTGCCATTTTTGAGATGTGTTGGGATCTAGAAAGTCACTCCTGGAGATTTGCTAGCAATAATAAGACCCTGCAGTTTGTCCACCACTTCCACCAACAGACTCAATGCCTGGGCGTTTTCCTCTACACTGTCTGTCATTCTCTCAGTTGCCTCTACCATCTTCTGCCTGAGATCTCGAGCGTCACTGGTGCTCTGGTCCATACTACTGGCAACGGTATGGATGGTTGACCTCAGCTCATCCAGGCTGTTTTGCTTTGTGAACACCAGAGCTGGATGAGAGCGGGTGGCATCTATGGAGTGGTGCCGTTGAAGCAGAGGGCTGGAGGGGGCTGTCTGGGAATGGAGGCCACATCCAGGTGGGCAGCATGAACACGGGTATGCTAGAGATGAGGTGTTGCAAGCTGTGCATGTATGGTGTTGATCTTCGACTAGGGTTTCGACACCATCTGCACAGTTCTCTTCATTTATAATAGACAAAACAGGATAGATTAATTTGGTTTCAGAATTAAACACTGTAAGACAGTGTTTGGCCTTGTCATGCCAAACAGTAGATGTCTTTGGGACATGATGAGCCTTACCCATAATCACAGAGTCATAAACGGCCGGAGCTGAGAGGTTCAGACCTCCTCCCGAGAGATGGGCGGTTTGGCAGCACAGGTTACATCTACCGGTGGACTGATACCTGGGCAGCGAGTGCGGCTGTCCTGAGGGTATGGAGGACAGCAGACTGGTGGAGGATGATAGACCGCCTGCAGACCCCAGGAGACTCTGTTCCTCTGAGCCAAAATGTCTGGCTAAAGCCAGTTTCTCCACTGTGAGTCGCCTAAGGCTGTTCCAGAAACTGGGCTTTCCCTCTTTGACACACTTATAAGTGAGAAAACAGGATGAGCATGCTAACCAACAAACGTTAGACCAAGAAAAAGCTTGGGTATCTTGCAATATGGTAAAATAAGAGTCAAGTAAAAGCACATTCTGTTGCAATGACAAAATGATCTGTGTCTCTATTAGGATGGAACCGGATGTGGGCACTCCCTGAAGAGGATTATTTTGTGACAACAACCTTCTGGATATACATTATCCTGCTTTTTATGCTTCTATCTACCACAGAGGTAAATAACTGGACTAAAATAGTTAAAGCTTCAGGAGAGAAAAACTGTTCCTATTAAGTGGCTTTGAGCCAAGATGAACAAACATGATGCTACTCTTGATAAGTTCTTCAATGTGACCATCCGTTTCAAATGTGAAATGAATCATTTTCAATTAATAACGTTAAAACTTTAGTCATATTGGTTTCATAGATTCACCATAGCATTGAAATTTTATATATGTGACCCTGGACCACAAAATCAGTCATAAGGGTTTATACATCATCTGAAAGCTGAATAAATAAGCTTTACATTGATGTATGGTCTGTTAGGGAAGGACAATATTTGGCCGAGTTACAACTATTTGAAAATCTGGAATCTGACGGTGCAAAAAAATCGCCTTTAAATTTGTCCAAATGAAGTTCTTAACAATGCATATGTCAGACTCTAGGCCAGGTTTTGTGTGTGTCTTTGCTCCCTATGTGCTCCGTCTTCCAGTTTCTCTGTCTCGTGTTTTGTACTCCGTGTCTCCTCGCTCCTTCGTTCCCGTGTTCCTCGTGTGTGTGAACTGTGACAGAACGACTGACCAAAACAGTAAGCGGCGCTCCTTCTTCCGTGTTTTATTTTCGTTTTTGAACAGTTTTTTGGTTTTCCTTTCTCTCCACTGTTCGTCTCCGCGGTACGAAGACAGCCCAGCTGTGAAGCGTGCCGGGTTTTTTTTTGGCTATTGCTAAAAATATACCCAAGTGACGTAAGACTGGTTTTGTGCTCCAGGGTCACATATGTTCATTAAAAACATGGCTTTATCTTTGTGTTTGTTGGAAAATCAGTCAAACAAATATATATTTTTTTTCTATTATTTGGTAGAAGTCATCATTTTTTCCCTTATGAACTTGTTATTCGATTTCGGCCACATCTTTCTCAGACATGCCTGTTGACATACTTTTATTTTAAGGTGTCCTTGTTACACTATAATTATACATTTAAGTAGTGAGTAATATTAATTAACATGTACTTACTATAGGGTTAGGATTATGGTTTGATTTAGGGTTAGTTGCATGTAATTATTTATAATTTATGTTACATATAACAGAGGCTGTAAAATAAAGTGTTATACTTTTCATTTCACTGTAATATCCATCTAGAAATAAGCAGCATTGTAGATTATAACACAGGACCGTGATCATTAGAATGAATAAAGTGAAGTGCGCAAAGAAAACAAAAATAACGACTTTATTCCACATTTTCGTCTCTACTGCGTCACTTTGGACGCGCGTTCCCGACAGTATTATGACGCGAGCGTGTGGCTCGTGTGGCTCTCGTAGCTTCGTAACTTTACAGTTGATCCACTGATGTCACACGGACTACTTTGTCGATCATCTTGGTACTTTTCTAGACCTTGAACGTGGTAGTTACCTTGCTGTCTATGGGAGGGTCAGAGAGCCCTCATATTTCATCAAAAATATATTAAATTGTGTTCCGAAGATGAACGAAGGTCTTACGGGTTTCGAACAACACGAGGGTGAGTAATTAATGACAGAATTTTCATTTTTGGGTGAACTAACTCTTTAACTGGTCATTTTGATTCTGTATTCCTAACATCTTCAAGTGCCTCTAATTGGAAAATTACCCACGTATAAAAATATTAGAAAATGAATTAGAATAACCTAATGAGAAGGAAGCAGTATTATAAATAATTTACCTGCTATAAAACAAATCAATGACAAAAATAAGACCATAATTTGCATTTCTGCTGCAGAATCATAAATCATGAATTATGAGTGCAAAACTGACAGGAACGTTACACATTTAGCCGATTACTTGTTTTAAAGAACAAATTATAATAGCTTTAACTTGTCATTTTTATTAACTATTCCTAACACTTTTAAAATTACTAATTTATAACATATTTAAAAAATATATTTATTTGTATTTAAGACAAAAAACAAACCTAGTTAATTTATAACTTTGAACCTGGAGATATAACCAATATGATGGTCAGTCAGTGTCATTTATTACAAAGATCATCTACAACTACACAATTAATGCACGTCAAATTTAAGTAATCTGGAAATTATTCAATTCATTTTAAGAATGAAATTACACATCGATTGTGATCTCTGAACGAAAGCAGGTCAAGAGTCTGTCATATGAAGATTAGATTATGATGCCGCACATAACTCCTTACACTCCTGCCACTGTCTTCCTCCAAACCACACTGATGCTTCTTCATCCTACGTTTAGACCAGGTAGCTGTGGAGCATCTTGTCAGTTGAGCTTTATATTAAGGTGATCTTCTGCTTCTGGCCTGCCAACATGCATGATTTTACTATAAAATGTCTCTGGAAACTCAGATTGTAATCCTTTTCTATCCCATTTAATCCAGCGAGGGGCCGGCCTCTCTCTGTGAGCAATTCCATAGGACCGCCTGCCACTCAAAGCTTCTTACCTCCGCCTGCTTTTAGAGCTCAATAGACACACTCACACTTACACAATACGGCCAACCAACTTTACAGTTAAAATGGAAAATATGACACATAAAATCAAAAGACTCAGCCAAAGCTAAAGACAAAGCTAAAAATATATCACAATGCCAGAGACTTAACAACTTAACAATTGCAATCAAATGAATAGATAGGGGAAAACATATTTAAAGGAGCAATGTGCATTTTTTTTAAAGAAATAATTCATCCAAAACTGAATATTTGCTGAAAATTTACTCACCCTCAGGCCATCCAAGATGAAGATGAGTTTATTTCTTCATCTGAACAGATCTGAAGAAATTTTGCATTACATCACTTGCTCACTAATGGATCCTCTGCAGTGAATGGGTGCCGTCAGAATGAGAGCAGAAACAAATGATAAAAACATCACAAAGGTCTTGTGAAGTGAAAAGTTCTATGTTTGTAATAAACAAATAAATCATTAAGGCGTTTTTAACTTCAAATTACTGCTTCCAGCTAAAATACGAGTCTAGCTTTAATATTGCTTTCTTCTGAAAAAGTCATCTTGTCTGAATCAGGAGAGAAATATGCACAAATCAAGAACTGTTTACAAGCAAAAACACTCCAAAACAGTTCTAAACAAATATGTTGGTGTATTTTGATGTGAGAGGACAACAGGGGATGGACTTTTTCTCTGGAAGAAGCGTTATTATGGACTTATATTTTGGTCAGAAGTGACAGTTTAAAGTTAAAAATGTCTTAATAATAAATTTGTTTCTTTCAAACAAACAGATTTTCGCTTCACAATATGTTAGTTGATGGACTGGAGTCATGTAGAATACATACTGGATTATTGTGATGTTTTTATCATTTGTTTGTGCTCTCATTCTGACGGCACCCATTCACTGCAGTGGATCCAGTGGTAAGCAAGTGATGTACTGCTAAGTTTCTCCAGATCTGTTTAGATGAAAAAAAAAAAAAAATTCTCATCTAGATTCTGGATGGCCTGAGGGTGAGTAAATATTCAGCAAATTTTCATTTTTGGGTGAACTATTCGTTTAACTGTAATAATGTCAGAGCTAAAATCCAGGACATCACATTGCTGATAGTGACAGGTGTTACTTGACCAATGCTAATGGTCTTAAATTGAACCTCATTAATTCTTTCTATTATCTATATTATTATCAATTCATAACTATATAAGCAAGGTGACAGAGAAGAAAACCACAACATAAATTTTATCTCGCAGGTATGGAATGTTTATTGAAGTAGTGAAAGTAGTATGCCAGAAAACGGTTTACAAAAACAGTTTATTCATTCCTTTTTTCATGACTTCAATTGCACAAATTGTTGTCAAACTGTGTTTGACAAATTAATTTTCAAGGTGATGGTCACATTTACAGAAGATCAACAATGAGAGTACAAGTAGTTTATCAAAACCAGTAATAAAAAATAAAATACAATAAAATCAGCCTTTGTATTTAACAGAAAAGGTGCTGTTGTTTTTATGATCATCGTAAGCAATACTTCAGTAACCAGTCTAGCCAATGACAATGACCTAACTAGTGACAAACCAAAATTTGCGAATAATGACACCAGCTAATAATTGGCTGGTTTTCAACAAATTTAATAACAAATTGATGATTTTCAAAGATTTTTTAGAATTTTGCACAAATTATTGTGTAAAGTTATTGTTTGTTTCATTTCTTATTAGTAAGTCATATACTGTATATAAACATTGAGCCATCCTGCTCTCTAGATTTTGGTAATCAGTCTTTAAAAACCCACATCTGCCAACCAGATCTCACAACAAGCCTGTGTGACATCAGCAAAACTCTTTCAGTGCATGCTCAAATGTACAAAAGATGCATTCAGAGGAAAACACACACACACACACACACAGTACTTTTTCACAAGTTCTTGATCGGCTTGATATAAGTGAAATAAGTTCATTCATGAATAAAGGCATTCGTGAAACAAGCAAAATGTAAAGGTTATTGCTAGTTTTGCCAGTGCAAAATACTACATGCTGAGGTCCTTTAGGGGCCCAGCCATTGAAATTATTATTCCCTTATTGCATAGTGTTGAATGCCACATTTTCAGTAAACGGCAAAAATACATAAAAAATATGACTTTAGTCTTCAGTGTATTAGTTCTAAAAATATCTTAAATTCACTCTGGTACAGTCTAATAAAACTAGATAATATAACTACAACTAAATCAAATTTCATATAGTGAAAAGCTTCATGTCAGCGTGCTGTCATGCTGAAATGGAAACCCTGGTCTTAAGTCGCTGGGGTATATTTGTAGCAATAGCCAAAATACATTGTATGGGTCAAAATTATTGATTTTTCTTTTATGCCAAAAATCATTAGGATATTAAGTAAAGATCATGTTCCATGAAGATATT